TTGACAAATCTAGCTTTTGTCGTAATTTTGAAAATTGAAATCTATTTCATTTAATTTAATGAATTTAATTTACATCTGGATCTTTATGTCCTCTAATTTTAATTAAAATGTTAGAATTTTATTCGAAATCGGTTTCTTTTATAGGATCTACATCTATGTCTAGATATTCATTTCTTAGAAGCATCAGACCGGCGGCGTGAATATGGATGAACAGAGATGAACGAATGCGGTTTTGATACATACGTGTATATAGACCAGTTTGAGGTTGCATGCTGGTAATAAATGTATTTTTTGAAAATATTGCTGAGGAAATTGTTCTCCTTTGTAAGGTCTTCTCTAGAATTTTCAACACTTACATCGACCATGTAAACATTGAATCATCGGAGCATATATTGCGTTAACATTTATTGTAAAATGTTTTATGTGTCGTATTTGGTCAAAAATTAACTCAACACATTTCTTCTGACAGAAAAGAAAAAAATTTTCTGCAAGTTTTCACAAATTTAATTTAAAAAAATACGGGTAACAAAAAATACACGTGCAAGATCTAGAATGACACACGAAATATTAATTTTCTCTAAATAAAGAGAGGTTACTCCGACAATCGAGGTACTACAGAGGTATGCCAGAGAGGGAAAATCATTTTGAGCATATACATATCAACTCATCATGCTCATGGGAATATATTTGAAAAATGAATTTTATTGTTGAAAATTCACTAGGACATGAACAAAGATGCTTCACGCCAGCATATTTCATGAACCACGTAAGCATGAAGCAACGCAAATTTATGTCATTCAGTGATTATTTTTGAAACAGGTGTGGCATTATGATGTCACAATGGAGAAATTCTAGATATTCTTGCACGTCCATGTACCAAGTTCATGAGAAAATAAACCGTTTTCTAATTTGCAATGAATCTGAAGGAAAAATATTTGCAAATATAAATATTAAATAGCAAGTCATTATAATTTGCCAAATAAGGTAATAGGATTTTTATATAGATATTGCCGATACAAGTCTATGAATTCGCCCCTATTCATTCAACGTGTTCAAGTGTCTAACAAACCCCCTCCCCCCCCCCCCCCCCCCGATTCTAGGTCACAGTGCAGATCGAGACCTCGATGAGTGTATGAACAGTTTGGCCCATGGACCACTGTGCACTAGTTTAGAATATATATATTTATATTGATATAATAATGAAATGAATGTTTTCGAGATGGGAAAATAAAAAAAAATGTGGAAGTTGGTATTTTTTGTGTACATATACTTTTATCATTCTTCTCTGTATATAAAATGAATAAAAACCGCAAGATTTTCAGGAAAAAAGTATTTATTAATCTATAAATAATGATTTTATAGTCTTTTAACAGATTATGCATATTTAAGCTTCAGCAACAAACCATCATATGAAAATTTATGGAATCTTTTAATATTTTAGGAAGGGGGGGGGTATTGAAATGCATGTAGCATCAAAACAAATGTTATGACCGTACTTCATATTTTGACCAGAAGTCAGTAATAATAATTAGTATAAAATATATTAGTTTTTAGAAAATTCATTTGGTATTTTTTTCGAGACGTTGAAAACTGCTCTTGAGGTGAAAATATTACTGCAAATTTACAATGAATACTCCCAAAAGCAACTGTGGCACTACTTCATCTATCAATAGTTTTCGGTACAATTTTTATTTTCAAAGAATACAAAGCATATTATATAATATCTGGTAGAAATTATTTATTTTGTTTCAATTTTGATATCTGTATGACATACTTAAAATTTCACCACATAAATATCAAAATATTGAAAAACTGTGGTTACCATTGCAACCATATTACCCTTATAAGCCTGATGATCATGGTTGAATTTTATATTATGATACCATTAACGTAAGACAAATTATATGTAAAAATGAGAAAAATTCATAGAGCGGATTTTTTTTTCACGGACCCTTGCAATCTCTTCGTTAAAGTACATATACTTATGAAAAAGTGCAAGGTGCAAGACAATTTTCTTATGAATGAGGTATAAAATGAAAATTTAATAGAGAAAACACTGAAAGACTAAATGTGGTTATCAGATGTTTAATTATTATTCTACCACCAATATCACAAGTTATTAGTATTTACATATAAAATTAGGTGACTTCCTTGGTTAATAATGGCTTATACCAGTTCACACGTAAATAAGTTTACGCATATACAAGAGCGAATTTTGTATGAAATCACCAAAGCATAGGTAATCTGAGTTGCTGAGATGGGACTTGATTTATACGTCATGGGTTGGAATGCAATGACGAAAGTTAGTGCTAGCACAAAACAATAACCCCAGTGCTCACTTTCCATAAGCCCCTGCTCCGTTTTAATTTCACCCAATTGCAATAAGGGCAAAGGGGCGAAAATAAAACGGGGCGAAATTGTCCATGTTTACAGTAAAATTTGTGAGGTTTAATTTTCGCTGTTTTGTAGTACAAAGAAACTCACAAATTCATGTCTTAAAGTGTTAAAATTTGTACAGAAAGTAGCAGTCATGTTTATCTTTTAAATAACAAAACTTTTCACAAACTTCTAACTGCGTAAACTTCTCACAAATCTGTTTTCCCTCAAACTCCAATAATGAGACCTACGAAAATTAGTCATTTACTGCTAGTGGGAGGTCCCAGGTTTAAAGAGGCATGGACAAAGGAAACTGCAGGAAGATATTTACCAAATCACATTATCTGTTATATAAGTCATTGGATGAAGCTTATAAATTGTCTTCTATGCTATGCCATCCCTCCCTTTGTATGTAAGTTCAATCTTTTGATACCAGACTGTACTCTGCAGAAATATTTTCTAAAATTATGTTGTTGATATACTCTTTCAGGGCTTCATATATATGTAAACTCAAACCGAGTTCATCATCAGAACAATATTGTCAAGAAAAAGTTTTTTTTTTCTATAAATGTGGATTATGAATAAGAAAAGAAATCAATTTGCTTTGGGGATTCAACATAATGCATATTTGATGTAATGCATCCACCGGTGCCCATATTTATAAACACTTGTTATCTTTAAACTGACCTCCTTTAAACTAAATAATATTAAATCCCCTTTTCAGCAACATCCCACGGTGACCTGTAAAACGTTGTAGGCATTTTAATACGTGTCTCAAGAGCAGATAGTAAATACTCCAAACAAAACAATTTCTTTCTTTACATTCAAAATGATAAAAATATTTTTTTCTCGATGTAATTACAGGAAGTAATTATGCTAATTAATTAAATGTAGGCCTTCGTGATACCAGAAATTAAGCATGTTCATCATTTATATTTCCTTTCAAATTTAATTTAAACAACAGTCCTTTTATTCAGTTGACAGTTGTTCAATCAAATCGACATTGAGTAAGGTCTATTGAAAAATAAACTGCATACATTGGGTTTATTGTTCAATAATTAAGTATATAAAAGAGGCAAGATACCATTTCTGTAAATCAGCATAAATTCTGCGATAGATGAACTGTCTCTGTGGATGCATCTGATGCAGAAGTGATCCTTTCCGTGAAAGCATTATATGGGCATCACATATTGTGATAAAAATTTCTTCCTATTCTAAATATATTTATGTATTATCCAAGAACAAACAAAGTATGAACTCATACTATTTTGATAACAGTCATTACTTCCGTTTACTTAGAATCAACTATTTTCCAAGTACCAGCTGCAAAGCAGATATCTTTACACAAAATTAGACATTTCAATCTTTTATACTTTGTCATTTACATATTCTCTTCTTTAAATTATATATTATATATCAAGAAACGATAAGAATTTTGGTGTTATCACTAGCAGCACTATTTGTTTGAAAGTTACTATTTAGCAAGTATCAGCTGTATCAATATTATAAAAAATGGACTTAAATATTAAGAATAATTCACATGTTCCATTTTCACAATCATTTACATGCTTTTAATGTATTCAAAATTTAACTAAAAAAAGATACTTGGTATAAAAATAGCAATGACCTATTTCTGGTGCACATTCGTTCTACCTGAATATATTAAAGTTCAAAGAAGAGTTGATGTATAGAGTTATGTAAATATTTTCCATATTAAAACTTTGTAATGAATAACAAACGGGGTTTATAGAAAATTGAAAAATACAGATAAAAGGTAAACTGAATGAATGCAATAAAACCAAGTGCTACAGTACTAGATAGCATGGCGTTTGAACTTCTATTCAGGCCTCCTGTTGATGTACAGTTTTTCGTCAAACCTGCTAATAAGAAAATATTTTAATATGTATGTAAAATAGAAGCCCGACACCCCCACCCCCTCCCCACCCCAATAAAGAATTTCACCAGCTATTCAGCAAGAAACTATGAGTGTTAAATTATAATATTATCCTCCGTTAAAAATATTCTTTCTATAAGAGAAACGCTTGATAGAAATGTTAACTCTAAATAAAAACAATATTATGTCTGTGACTCAGTGAGCAATAATGAGCATAAAATGAAATGTAAAATGATCGAAAAGAAAAACTTGCTAAAAAATGAAACAATACAAATTTTGAGCAAATACTGACCTCTGAAAATATCAGAGGGGGATAAGGAGCCATGAAATAGAAAACATTCCCGAACGACAGTAACACCCACCGGGTGCCCGTAGTCATGATCACGTTAACGAGGAAATCCGTAATCAATTTAGTATGATAATAATGATCTAACAAATTGTATGGCATTCAACATTTGACTTTACTAGTAAATTCCCTTGCATCATAAACTTATTTTTTACTAGTCTGTATTGTTTATTCGTACGAAGAATAACATAGCTTTACAGCTGATTCGTAATAATTTTCAAAGTAAAAGTCTTTAAAATTGAAAAGGAGAGTCATGAATCTAAAGCTCATTTTTGAAAATTATTTTGTCCGCTCCATCGAGTTATACTAAAGATAAAGTGCCTTTTTACATGTGCATATTAACTCATTATTTGATTTATTAGTGCCCCTTTTCTTTTTGCTCACCTTCACAACCAGTAACATAATCACACCATTCTTCCATACAGTCACATATTGACTGACAATTGACACCATAAGACGGATAAGTGCAGTTTTGTTGACATTTCTTTCCTGTGTAACCCGGTGGACACGCTGGAGAAAAAACGAGAATGAAAAAAATCCTTTATTATCTTTACAAAAAAATTACTATAATTAACATACCATTAGTGTTTATGTTTCTTGTCTGTACGTTCCATGATCTCAGAAACTACTATTCCTATTCTTAAACGTACAGATGATGATGAGGGAAAATTAATAATAGGTATATTTAACTGTTTTTCATTGCTACCTTAAAAGGAATTCATGATTTTATACACATTACATTTTGTTGACGTACAGAAGTGTCCTTTGAATTATAATAGCTACCCTTTTTATCAATAAAAAGGACAGACTTGAACAATTGCATTTTAAAATAATTCTAACTGGATTTTCTTAATTTGTAATTTATCAAATGAATTTTAAACATCACGAAATGTTTTTATGCTTTAAAGAAAGATTTCAATTCAATGAGAATGTGAAGCATCACGGAAACATTGACTATAGGTACCCCAAAGGCTGACAAGCTGACACCCATTAGAGTGATGACAATACTGTTCTTCACAATCACATTTTGCCTGACAATCCTCTCCATAGCTTGGGTAGCGACAGGGTAGGGTACAATTAATACCAATATATCCAATTCGGCAATCTAAGAAACAAAATTATGAAACAGTAAGAATAATTCTAAACACATCTCAACTTTTATGGATTGATATGCTTATATTTATTCAATTTTAATTATTTACTGGGCTAACTTCATTTCAATTATGTACTTTTGCCACACTTCTATAACACAGTGCTTATATAAGGAGACGTATTTCTGTCATGCTTGGAAAAAATAAATATACTGATTAACATACATTTCTTTACACTACATAATCCTTATAGTAAATGTGAAGCTTTATTTTTTTTTTATTCTGAAGGGTCCCATATTCTACCTTACACAAACACACACAACAGAGAGAGAGAGAGAGAGAGAGAGAGAGAGAGAGAGAGAGAGAGGACAACCTAAGATACAAGTTTGAGAATTTCTAGTAAAACCTATTAACCAAAAAAACAATTAACTACATGTACTTACTTTTTTGGTTTTCCAAACATGTAATTTTAGCTAATAAAATAGCTAGCAATAATGAAGAAAAGGTTAGGAATAATACTTTATACATTTTGCACTATTTTTGCCTTGTGTAATAGTGATTTTAAAGCTAAATTTAGAACCATAACAACTGCAAATGATTGAATGTTCCTTATAAATATTGGAGGTATGCATACATTTTACATTTTAACTTCCTGTATATATGTAAATCTGGAAATCATATAATGATCATAACGTTGAAATGAAAAATACATTGAATGATATATATATATATATATATATATATATATATATATATATATATATATATATATATATATATATATATATATATATATATATATATATATATATATATATATATATATATATATATTGCAGAAAAGATAACCAGCATTTAGGTTAATGAATCGGAGCTAGAAAATTACTCTCAAATGTTTATTATTTTTATTATAGAATGACCTATATCACGACTGAAATCATAATACATAGTAACTTAAGTGACTTCCTAAAAAAATGCATGCAATTTTTTTTCTGATAACAAAATTGTTTGATGTATCAACGCCCTGATATACATGTTACTAAATCCCCCCCCCCCCCCAAGTTTGATTGATTATCTTATTTTGCCTATGACAATCAAAAATGTGTTTCAATTTTTTGATGATATATTGTGATATCTAAGTGTTCACTGTGCATTTTAAAGAGGACTTTTGTTGCATATCACTAGCTTTAAGTTAAGCTGGCGATATATCAAGGATGATAGAATAATTGGAATCGATTATAAATAAAAAAAATAAGGGGACTTATATTTCGATTATATTAGTTTTATACAAATAGTTGATAAATGGTGAAACTATGAATATTATACTTAGAAACTACCATTCTTACATTGTCCTGGAAATTCAATTGCCAAGGTGGAAAAAATTTGAAGTCTGTTTGGATCTTTTACCATTAATGCACGGAAATTTACATTGATACCGTACGGAAGATTGCATTTTGTTTGTTCCCGATGACTGCTTCACCAAACATCTGTTAGTAGAGGTCAAATTGAAAAGCAAGAACAGAACAATGAGTTCATAAAATACAGAACATTAAACGAAACAAAAAAAATCAATATATCATTATTGAAAGTAAAGTATCAAGCGCTAGCAATGTCGAGATTTAAGTAATCTTACTTTTTAGTCTCAAATCCCATTTTTATTACAGCTCAAGTCTGAGGGGACTAGAAAACATAATTCTGCAAATTTTTAAATACAAAAGTGATATTTCATAATTATTTCATTAATTTTTCATTATATTCCCTTAGAGGAGATAAGTGGTATTTAATGTATTTTATTAAGCATAATATAAATCCAATGTTCTGAACATTCAGGAAATGCATATAATTCAATAAAATATAAGATTTTCTGAGCCTTATTGTTAAGCATTTCCTTTATTGATTAAAATGCACTTCCAATGAAAAAAAAGTTGCAAAAAATAAAGTACATGTACAAATGAATATATCACAACCTTAGTATACACAGTTTTGTTAAATATAAAAGTTGTTCAGTAGCAATCTGAAGGGTAGAAATTCTTTCCATTTTAATTGCTGGAATTGAACAAAGAACATCGTGAAAAGCCAGAGGAAGTGAAAAAATTAATCTCCGATAGGTTCCATCATCAAAATATTCCCATTTGATACTATTTTTTATTAACTTGTCTTGAATAATATTTGATATTCCTGTTGAAGCTGCAAGGATTTCACTTTAACTAGTTTGGTGATGCATAGGTAATATTTGAATTGATTAACCATGTTAAGTTAAGTTATACATTTCTTGTTTTGAACATATTATCACATGGCATTCCTTCACATGGTCTCAGTTCTGTTTATCATAATTCATGCTGATCAACAATATTCCCTGTAGTTTGGATAGAAACACGGTAGGTAAGAGTTATCCCACGGGGGATTACGGCAATTCCCAACAAATTATTAAATGAGCGTTCCTAAATATAAAACCAAATACATGTAGAAGAAAAATATTCATAACAACATATTCTGCGATTCCTGTCAGTTATCAAGCACATAGAATGTTCAAGACATACTGTTTCCGTACCTTTCTGTGGTAAATTGTCAAAAAAATGTGGGGATAAACAGTAATCATGTGTTCAAAAGTTCAATTAAACAGCAAAATTGTGAGTAGGGCAAACATGGACTTCTGTACACAGAGGTCGGATCAGATGCCATGGAGGAATAAGCATGCCATGTTGACTGGTCACACCATCAGTGTTCACTTTGTCATGATCGGGAGTTATTACATACTTCTTTTTTTTTTATCTTAGACTCTTTAAAAAGGGTGCTGAACTAACCAGTTTTTGTGATTATCAATAGTTTTAAAGTATACCCAACGGAAATTATTGTAGTTTTCAAACTGCCCTATAAAAGTTAGAGTATGGAATTAGCTTTAAATATGTATATCCGTTATGATCTATAATGCAGAAATAAAGAATATGCCTGAATTCAACTGTACTATAACTGTATATAAACTATTACTTTTTGGGATAAAAAGATACACCTTGAATTATCCGTTGTAATCTAGAATGTAGAAATTGAAAATAAAGTCTTAATTAAAATGAAAATCTATAAACTTTTTGGATTAGAAAATTCACAATGAATTAGTATAGCTAAAATTATCTTAATGCCCCCTTTGTAAAAAGACATGAGGTCCACTATAGAATCAGAGTGCGATCTACACAGCAAGAGAAGTTCGTTAGATATACATGCTAAATGATTGTTAAAAATTTTAGCAATGTCTTATGGGACCTCAGTGGTGAAAACACTGGTGCTAAATTGATGGATTTTGGCGTAAAGTCTTTCGATTGTGTCACCTGTGGTGAAGTTCTGTTCTGCTAAACGGTTGACCTTTTCCCTGTCAAAATACTCTGTGCATTTGATTCTACAGATCTGAGTTTTCAATTTCGCTCACTGTGGAACCATCATGGTTCGTGGGGGACCAATGTTCGTTGATTTCGTGGGAAACCCTTACCCATGAATTAATATCCCCGCGAACATTGATACACATACTTTTAGCACAGTTGATTTATTTATCCTAACAAAATATGCATTTCTTATATGCATAAAATATTACATCCCTACGAAACAGTCACATTTTGTTATTCACGAACATTGACCCCTACGAACAATGATTCCACTGTATTGGTAGGAATTGTTACTCATAAGCCGTGCCTAAATTATTTTTTGTTATGGAGTGCACTGGGAGCTTGTGTGAGGGATCTGTTTGGTATAACAGTAACATCGTATCCCGTTCGGTATAACGGGTAGTTTTTAGTTTGCCTTACTCGGTATAGTGGGTTTACCTGTTCGGTATAACAGGCAATAGCCTCACTAAGGAATCATCTAGGAGGTAATTACATTGATATCCCAGCTAACACTCTAAGGGGTACCCTAGGAGTCGATTAATACAAATTGTTAGCCTTGCTTTGGATTACCCTAGAAGGCAAGGTGCCATAACGCCCGTCATCAATTTAGGTGTGTGGCACCCAATGACTGTTAAATGCTTGTCTGACATTCGTTATTGACATTGTAACAATTATTAAAGCTGCGGCCTCTATCATTCAAAACATGTTTTGTTATTTTTTTCGGAAAATGCTCTATCAAGAGCACGGAAACGATTCCCTGGATTGACAATATATAAATTTACGTTTACACAAAGTCTTTGCGGAAAAAAATATTACGCATAGAAACTAAAATAACACTTCAATTTATCATTCGTATTTTTAGAATAAATGGAGTTATTCATAAAAAAAGCGAAAAGGATATTAAGAAAAATTTTATTCAATATTTTATAAATGGTTGCTTTGCAATCAGAAACTTTGATATTGACAATGAAATATTTCCAAATATGACCAATGAAAAAGTATCATGAATAATTTATATTATTTGTAATACAATTTTTTGAGAAGAGACAAATTTCACTTCTCTGAATTTTCAAATACCTTATTAGTTTACAGGGCTGATAAAAATGAAATGCCTCTAGTAATGTTTTTTTTGTTAAAAATAACATAGTTATTGAAATTACACTGATAATACAAAAAATATCTCGATATATGGAATAAATTTGGTTTTAGAATAGTCTAAAGTGTTTTTTTTTGTAACATATCACACTCCATTTAGTCACAGGCATGCATAAAAGTAAACTGAAGGCAGCGCGTACATTTTGCAATGTAAGTTCATTTAACTTAGATATTGTTTGATTCACGAAAGAAAAAAAAGTGTATTTACTTTGTGACTTATGTATGTATATATGACGTAGTATACAAAACAAACAACTTTCTATATATATAAGAAAGATTTAACTTAATGATAAATAAAGTATCGATAATTTCCATACTTGTACATACACAACTCAAACAACATATTATCTAACATCATTCTGCGAAGTAATTAAAAGCACGTTCTTATTGGAAAGAAATATTGCTATTTATTATAAATGTGCAAACAAAATATATAATGAAAGTCTAATACCATACCCGCTGAAGTGTATTCTTCATGTCTTTTT